CTACATGCAATATTTATTATATTATACTGAATGTTTTATACAAATACATATTACAGTGAACCGTGCGCGCATAAATTCCGCGCAGTCGCTATTTTTTGTAATACCACCCGTCGTCAAGCAATGTTGACTGTTGCTACGCAGGAGGGCGTGGCTTCATTATTCAGCGGGCAGTAGTGTTTTTTATCAAATGTTTCTCGACGAATCAGATTCAAGTAATTTACATGAAAGTATAATATATATGGATGTTGCCTAGCTAAAACTCTTAATTTACGGACACTTGCTTTGGGAGATAATAATACAGACTCGATTCAACTATTCGTTAATACTTAATTTTTTTTGAAGAAAGGAATAAATTCTGTTAATATGGGCAGCGGAAAGGGCAAAAATTACAATAATAAGAAAACAAACAATTATTATTTCAATGACCATAAAAACTTAACAAATGATATACAATGCATAATCAACAGACCTTTTCGCAGAACAAATAAACATAAAAGCAAAACCAACGAACACGTACGTAACAAACATACATGAATGCAAAACCAACGACCATCTTTGCAGTACAAACGTACATAAAAATACGACAAACGAAAAAAACTTAACCAACGTGCACGCGGTAAATCTAGTCTTCCCGACTCCCTTCTCCCGACGGTCCCGTTTTCTTTTTTTTCTTGCCGTTTTCTCTTTTGTCGGCGCACAGAAAGTCTTCACACTTCTCAGGCAAATTTCTAGGTTTAAAAAAAATCAATAATATATAAAAACTTTAACAAATTTGCGTATTTATTACTGAAACAGCAGTGTCATCTGCCAAAAGCGGTAAATCTAGTACTCAGCTACATGTATAAATGCGAAAACTACTGAAAAAAGGACACAAATGTTTTCCTAGAATCGCGATTAAAAACAACAAACTGAGGTACAGTTCATATTTTTTAATAAATGAAAACCCTCATTTACATGCTAGAAAATTTGTATGCACAGAAATTCCCCCACACATTTTTTTTTGTATAGAACTCTTTGCCACATTATGTTTATGTTCCCAGGCTATACAACATGGACGTGGTTCTACCTCGGATCCCCCTTAAATTTTTTACTTTTTTGGGGGGGTTAATTCATCTTAAAAATTGAAAATGAAAGAAAAGAATTTGCATAAAATGTAGAAAAATATCTCATTTTCTCCTGAAGGCCGTTTCGTCAATTTTTTTTGTTCTTGTTACATAAGTTGGTTTTCCCCAATTCTTTAAATATTACAAGAATATATTATGATAACTTTACATTACAGTGGCATATCATATGACAGGAACGTAGCAACAATTCCCAATTTTAAGAGTAAGATCAAAAAAGGGTTATGTAGTACATGTATAATAGGAAAAAAAATTGGCACTGAAAGAAGTTGAACCTAACACCATCCCCCCCCCCCCCCCCCACACACACACACTCACACACACGAGATTTTCGAGTTTGGGCTATATCATTTAAATTTCTTTTTTGTTTTTGCTTGTTAAGTTTTTAAAATCTTTTTTTTTCAGCTAGATTGAAATTTTTTCTTTGGTTACCCCCTCCTTTTAAAAACCATGCTACGTCAATGTATAACAATGCAGTACTTTCAATTTGCATTATTTTACCATAAGTACAATGTTAGATTTAGCTATTTTTATGAAGATTTTGATAAAAATCTTTTTTGAAATCAAATCATTTTGATTTTATGAATTTTTATAGAATTTAATTGTTCATTTTTTTTATTAACACCACCAATTTTCACTGAAATACTAATTCAATCTTTTTGAGAAGAAATATCTTCTCAATATCAATACCTTAAATATCTTTAAAGATACATGGACACAGATTTGAAGTTAATTTATTTCGTCTTAAAGTTATTGAAACAAAATTGCCACTTTTCCTAAGTATTAAGAATAAAATCAAAATTTGTAAGAGTGCAAGGATGTGTCAATCAAACCCGTCTAAAAATTTGAAGTTTTAATAACTTTTAGATGAAATAAGATTTTCAATATATTTTTTGTGTGAAATGCTATTAAAATATATAAGTTGTAATATCATACAGAAAATATTAACTTCAAATCTGTGCCCATGCACCTTTACTATCTACCACACTTACGTCTCTCTGTATCGATGTCCGTTTCTGGTTTTCATATTTATAACGGAGTACTACATTTACCCCCTTTTGAAGGTGATACTGCTGATTCAGTAATAAACACGCAAATTTGTTTAAGTTTTTACATATTATTGAATTCATTTAAAAAGAAAATGTGCCTGAGAAGTTTGAAGAGTTTCTGTGCACCGACAAAAAAGAAATTTTAAAAAAAATCCGATACCGTCGGGAGCCGGGAGTCGGGAAGACTAGTTTTACCGCGTGCACGTTGGTTAAGTTTTTTTCGTTTGTCGTGTTTTTATGTACGTTTGTACTGCAAAGATGATCGTTGGTTTTGCATTCATATATGTTTGTTACGTACTTGTTCGTTTGTTATGTTTTAATGTATACTTGTTCTGCGAAAAGGTCTGTTGATTGAAATTAAAATAATTGTTTGTTTTCTCATTATGGTAATTTTTGCCCTTTCCGCTGCCCATATGTTAACATGAGTACCATTTAATCATATAAAAGTGCTTTAGAGTGACGACATTTATAATTAGAACTATATTGCTATATTTTTCTTTTTACATAAGGTCAACCATTTTATTGTTTCTCTAGAATAGTATTAAGTTTGGTCAAATAACTCCTATGAATTTCATGCTAAATAATGCCATGCGTAATACCCATCAAGAAATGCATTCAAAGATTTCTTTAGAAACATGAATAGCAATTTTGTGATAATCTTTGTATAGTGATCAATTTGGTTTCCTAAATTTTTATCACTCAATAAACATTCAAAGTTTGTATTACGTAGGGACATTATGCAACTATTTAAAAAAAATTATTTATGTTACTGATTTAAAAATTTAAAGATGATCATAGTTTTATAAAATGATGCGTGCAAAAAAAGTTGACGAAGAGAAATGCTTTTACCATTCTTTTTTTTCTAACAAAGTTGCAGAAACCTTTTTTTTTTTGAAATACTGAAATATTTTAAGTTTTGAGAATTTCATTTTTGAAGTGTCCAAATCAGTAAGTTAGAAGACATATCTCATTGTAGTTTACTTGTGTTCAATTTTTAAAAAATTATATTTACATGCGTCACTGAATTGACGACGGATTTTCCCGTTATTTCCCTATCATGACAAGGAGCAAAGGGTGGGTGTGACCGTAGCCAGGGGATGCTCACTCCTACTTTGGTACCTGATCACATCTCTGATGTTTTGGAGGTCCGTGTTTCCTTTGCTCCTATTTTTTATTCATGCACTTTTGAGCTTGAATACTGTTCGTTATCTCCATATATTTCATTCGAACAAGCTAAAACAGTAGAGTCTACAGTATTTTTGAAGAACCTTTTATCTTAGGTTTATGGTATATTTTTTTCACTTTTAGGCAACAGAGGTACCTTGGGCTCCAGGAACTATATTTTCTTCTATGTGTTTCATTGTGGTAGTACTTGCTGTGTACTTACCGGAAACACGAGGATGGGATCTTCCTCAGACAATAGCTGAAGTAAAAGTTTGGTACAAAGAAAAAAGTGGATTCCAGCTGAAGAAAAGTCGGAGGACTGACTCTGTGGAGACTTTAGAAATAAAGTAAAAAATATATACACAGTATTATTGTATGTACTGAAAAATAGATTAAATGAAGATGTCAACATGACATCATCATTGGTGTCTAGCTGGATGGGATGTAAATATTTATGGTAAATTGTTTCAAATACAAGCGCCATTCAAAAGTAATCACCAAAGGAAAAAGTCACAGGGTAAAAAATCAAAGTACTGAGACAGTACTGAAAGACGGGGTCAAAATAATCTTCATCCTAGATTTCACAAATGTGATTTTTTTACGAGTTTAGATAACAACTTAATTTTTCATTTACATACTAAAACAAAACGATGAATAATATGCATTCACACTTTTCATTTAATTTGAAGTAGATATTTTAATAATTGCTCAGTCTGAAAGCCTTTCTGAACTGCTCCGAATTTTATCAGGTACGAATTAATATTTTTTCCGGAAGTAAACAATGGATGATGCGTACGCAGTCACAATAATACGCAGGATAGTACTTTGTTTACTAGTGTGATTTACATGAATATTTTCAGTTTTAAATTATCAAAATACTTTATCAATTTGAGTTAGACAAAGGTTCATATCACTTTCTTCAGTTTGATACAGAATGTTTATGTTTTGATCAAAACAATTTCTGCACTATTTTATATGCGTAGATTTAATTCATGTGTTATCACCACGGCTTCCTGTTTTAGGCCTCTGACAGTAAACTAAAAGACGGGGTCACGTGACCCCGTCTAATTATAGTATTTCTAGTATACATGTGTAATATGAAAACTCTATCTTTTCTCTTTTAAAAGTTATGACTAATTTAAGGCAATGTCGGTCAATTCAAATGAAATAAGTCAAAATTTAAGGTCATAGGGTAAAAAATCAAAATATATTTTGAACGATCTTGTCACAGGTAATATACATAAAAGCCGTATCTCTTCTCATTTAAAAGTTAAGACCAATGTTAAAGTATTTGAGACAGATGGACAAGCTGGCAGTCGAACGAGATTTAATGTCCTCTCGCTTTTGAGAAAGCAGGAAACAATAAATTCCGAGTAAAATTCGTCATGCCCTATAAGTTTTTGCCTAAATTCGACCATGATAATTTTCGTTTATCTGAACAGTTAGTTTATCGAAAACATTGATCAACTTGCACAATGATAGGTTGAAGCATCATCAGTAATTGTAAACCTATAAAAAATAATCTTACCTTTATTACTTTCATGCATGTACAAATGGTTTTATTTCATGACCTCAACAGAAGACAAAGCATATTTGTAATTCGCTTTCATTCGCTTGCCTACTGCAAACTTACATAATTGGTCATCTGCATCATTCGAATTGGCCATCTGCAAAAAAATTCATTTTAAAAAACAGTGTCAGTCTACACACAAGTACTCCGAGGTTCATATTTAAAGAGAATGCCTGATTTATTTCTTCACAAAATATATATACAGTTTTTGAAACTAGGTCTTCCAACAATCTAACTGTTGAATTGCTATCATCCTTATCATCGGTCAATGTCTAGGACTGTAATGTCCCTTTTACGTCCGCCTGTCTTGAGTCTGTCGTCTCAGTAATCCCCAAGATTGCTGCATAGTTCTTATTTTAGTCTCCGTTGCCCTTCTCAATGTTGTTTCTTGGTCCTTCTATTTCGATGTCCATTGGAGTCCATTGTAATGTCGTTCTTTTGATTTATTAAGGCTCTCTCCGAGCACTTGTCCTATCCATCTCTAATGCCTCTTTGAAATTATGGTACCTATACCCTCCTGTCTGCATCTCCCAAGCAGTTCTTCATTGAATCGAGCTCCAATGATTAACTGTTTATATGGGTACTTATTATTGAATCTCGTTTTATAAGTGAAATAGATGTATATAAAGATGAAGGACAGTATTCATTATTCAAGCTCAAAAGTCCATTTAAACAATATATATAAGAGGCAGAGCAAACATCGACCTTTTAAAACGGTAGAAAGTTCTATGGTCTAAAAATAATCTTTTTATATTGATTTTTAGACCATTACACACATTGGATTATCGACAGATTTTTCCGTTTTCCGTTCATAACAAAATGTACACTGCGGATGTAGCCGGTTGGTAGGGGATGCTCACTCCTCATTGGCACCCATTCCCACCTCTGATGCTTTATAGGTCCGTGTTTGCTCTGCTCGTGATTTATTTTGTTTGACTGGACTCTGGAACTGTTCGTTTTTTCATTTCATTTTTTGTTCAAAAGACATTTCAAAATGTAAAAAGTTACAAGAAAGAATCATTATCTAAATGTTGTTTATGGTAAACATGTGAAAGTAACTTTATCTGCCGCAAGAATATTTTATCTGGCAAAAATTCATTGTGTTGATAAGTGCAGTTTAAGATAAATCTCTCATCTCAGTGGTTATAAAAATTAGGATTTCCTCAAAGCTTTGTGTTCATGGTTTTGTTTCGTTTGTGAATGCCACTATTTTCGGTGTACCATAACTTCACTTCTCTCAAAGACTGGGAAAGTTCAGAACCACGTGTTTCGGGTACACATAAGATCAGTAATGTCACAGTGAAGCACATTGCAGAAAATATCGTTCCTGGAGCCCAGGGTATTGCTTCAGCCTGAAATTGTAGGGGGAAACATTAAAATACGAGATTTTATTCGTGTAATTTTAAAAACCGGTAAAAATTGTAAATAAATAAATGTTTTACCAACGTTCCAGCAAATGGAGATACTATCGCACCAATTCTTGAAAAGGCTGAAGAAAACCCAATTCCAACATTTCTTGCAAAAGAAAATAAATGGGTTTTTTTCCCTTTTTTGTGAACTAAGTTTAAATAAAATATTTCCCTCCCTCCATTCATCACATCTTTTTCAGTCTATTTCAAATTCATAAAAAATGAAAAATGAATAAAAACAGGCTTAAACCTAAACAAAACTTTAAAAATATCCATTCGAAACTTATACAAAAACAAAGCATGTAGAAAAAACTACCTCAGATTTGTTGGATAGAGCTCAGGTGTATATAAGAAGAGAGTGCTAAAAGACCCTGTAATTGCCATTTTCCCAATAAAAGTCGTCACCACCGAAGACATTTGAAGTGCACTGTTGTTGCCTGAAAATATCCAAAATCCAAAAGGTTTGAGTAATAGATTAAAAAATCGTATGGGCGGTCAGTTTCAATAAGGATATGGGGATATATAAATTGGTTTAGATTTAGGACTCTAAAAATTGGTGGAAACGTAAATAAAAAGGTCCTTTTCCGGTCATGCGTTATGTTATACACTTGAACTTTACTCGACAGTAATCGCTGGCCAAGTGCACCTTGAAGATTTTTTTCGCAAAGAATTATATATATACATATATTACATCGAGGAAGCAAGAATAAAATAATAGTTTGCAAAACAAATATCCCCTATCAACAATTCAATGTTCTACACTACACTTGGCTAATTTTGAAACTGCCATCGCCATCCCCCAAATACTTTTTCACTTCATCACCATAACATCATTTTGATAAAATTGATTGATCAATTGTATGTTGTTTTATGTTCATTTCGAGAATTTTCTCTCACAAAAACACAAATTTGAATAAGTAAGACAATGTGGAAGAAATACCTGCAAAGTGATTCAATAAGGTAGCTGAAGCCAAGGAAACTCCACATATAGCATGAAAGACAACTGTTATAGTTCTTCTTCCTAGGCTGAAAAGTCAAATTTTACTTGTTTGTTAACTTATTATTTTTTAATCGTTTTTATTGGTTTTTTGAAGGGGGTGCATTTATCGTCACATTGCTTTTAAGAAATATATTGTCCATACGCTTTAAATTTTTCTGTATTTTGTTTGTGAGGGTATCTGTGGTCTTGTTAATGTTTCAAATAAAATGTCTTTTCTCCGTTAAAGAACAGCAAAGTTACACAACATTTATTTAATATACTTTGACAGAATATGCAAAAGCAACCTTGCATTCAACGTTCAATAGAAAATATCTTTAAACTAGGGCTAATTGTAACGGGGACCGTTACAGATGTTCCCCAAACGCTCCCCAACTCCATTTTCGTGCCATATTCCATGTAAGCTTCATTAAAGAAGACAAATTCTACGCATTTTAGTCTTAAACAACGTTTTCCCAGAAGTACACCAAATATAATAAATTTATGCATTACACGCGTGCGCATGTGAATGCATGTGCGTAACGAACATATCATCATGTCTACACTATCAATGTATTCTAATACACTAAATATTAAAGAAAAGTATTAAAAATAGGCTCATTTAAGTGTATTTTTAATTTTACTTATTTCACGTGCACGCACGTGCATGCATGTGCATGGTGACCATTCCTTCTTGTAGGAGTTCATTATGTCTATCTATGTTCTAAATCCCATCCTGATCGGTTAAAAACCAAGGGAGTTATAGCCATTTCAAGTATTAGCCAATCAGATTGCAGCGCAGGTGCATGCGCGTGTTTTCATTATAATTGTTATATATCATAATGTAGGATATCTTAATGTATGACTATGTTCAAAATTTCAAAGCATTTCGTCAAAAAACAAAAAAGATATTGAGATTTTTGTTTCAGCCAATCAGAGCGAAGCGCACGTGCATGCGCGTGAGTTCTTGCTAATTTGACAGTGTTATATTATCTATACTATTAATATATCCTTATATAATGAGTCTCAAAGCATTTCATCAAAAAATGTAAAAGTTATGGCTATGTTAAGTATAATAGTCTTTTCACTCATTTCACGCGCCCGCACGTGCATGCGTATGCGCGCAAAATGACCTTCGTTCCGCACACCTACACTACACACCTATTAACCCTAAAAAGGTTTTAGCTTAGTTGGGTGAACAGTTTCTGAGAACACTCGCGGACAAAAAAGTACCGGAGAACAAAGAAGAAAAAAAAGAATAATAATAATAATAACTAGTGCTAATTGTAACGGGGACCGTTACAGATGTTCCCCAAACGCTCCCCAACTCCCTTTTATAGTCATATTTCCTGTAAGCGTAATTAAATAAACAAACTTTATGCATTTGAGACTTTAACAACGTTTACCTAGAAGTGTACCATGTTCATTCAAATTTTATCATTGCACACTTGCGCATGTTAATGCATGTGCGTAATGACCATATCATATTCTCTACACAATCTATATATTTTAATATGCTAAATATTAAAGTATTTAATCCAAAAATATTTAAAAAAACGCTCATTCAAGTGTATTTTTGATTTTACCCATTTCACGTGCATACATGAGTATGGTGACCATACCTTCTTGTAGAAGTCCATTATCTATCTATGTTCTAAATCCAACCCCGTTTGGTTGAAAACCAAGGGAGTTATAGCTGTTTAAAGTTTCAGCCAATCGGATTGCAGCGCACGTACACGCACGTGTATGTATGTGTAGGGTGACCATACCTTCTTATAGAAGTCCATTATATATGTCTTTGTTCCAAATCCCAACCTGTTTGGTTGAAAGCCAAGGGAGTTATAGCTGTTTAAAGTTTCAGCCAATCAGATTGCAGCATTCGTACACGCACGTGTATGCATGTGCATGGTGACCATACCTTCTTGTAGAAGTCCATTATATATATCTATGTTCCAAATCCCATCCTGTTTGGTTGAAAAGCAAGGGAGTTATAGCTATTTAAAATTTCAGCCAATCAGATTGCAGCGCACGTGCATGCACGTGATTTCATGATAATTGCTATATATCATTTTGTAGGAGATCCTAATGCATGGCTATGTTCAAAATTTCAAAGGATTTCGTCAAAAAACAAGAAAGATATTGAGACTTTAGTTTCAGCCAATCAGAGCGTAGCGCACGTGCATGCGCGTGAGTTCTTGCCATATTGACCACGTCATCTTGTTTATACTACTAATACATCCTCACATTATGAGTTTCAAAACATTTCATCAAAAAATAGAAAATTTACGGCAATATACATTATATTGCTCATTCACGTTTTGCACGTGCGCGCTCTTGCAAGCACGTGCGCGCAAAATGACCTTCGTTCCGCAAATCTACATAACATGTCTACTGACCCTAAAAACATTTCACCTTAGTTGGATGTTTAGTTTACAAGATCATTCGCGGACAAAAAAGTGCCCAGGAAGAAGAAAAATAATAATAACTAGTGCTAATTGTAACGGGGACCGTTACAGATGTTCCCCAAACGCCCCCAACTCCCTTTTATAGTCATATTCCCTGTAAGCGTAATTAAATAAGACAAACTTTTTGCATTTAAGACTTTAACAACGTTTACCAAGAAGTGTCCCATGTTCATTCAAATTTTATCATTGCACACTTGCGCATGTTAATGCATGTGCGTAATGACCATATCATATTCTCTACACAATCTATATATTTTAATATGCTAAATTTTAATGTATTTAATCCAAAAGTATAAAAAAAAACAACGCTCATTCAAGTGTATTTTTGATTTTACCCATTTCACGTGCACACACGTGCATACATGAGCATGGTGACCATACCTTCTTGTAGAAGTCCATTACATCTATCTGTTCTAAATCCAACCCCGTTTGATTGAAAACCAAGGAAGTTATAGCTGTTTAAAGTTTCAGCCAATCAGATTGCAGCGCACGTACATGCACGTGTATGTATGTGCAGGGTGACCATACCTTCTTATAGAAGTCCATTATATATATCTATCTTCCAAATTCCAACCTGTTTGGTTGAAAACCAAGGGAGTTATAGCTGTTTAAAGTTTCAGCCAATCAGATTGCAGCATTCGTACACGCACGTGTATGCATGTGCATGGTGACCATACCTTCTTGTAGAAGTCCATTATATATATCTATCTTCCAAATCCAATCCTGTTTGGTTGAAAACTAAGGGAGTTATAGCTATTCAAAATTTCAGCCAATCAGATTGCAGCGCACGTGCATGCACGTGATTTCATGATAATTGCTATAATTCATTTTGTAGGATATCCTAATGCATGGCTATGTTCAAAATTTCAAAGGATTTCGTCAACAAACAAGAAAGATATAGAGACTTTAGTTTCAGCCAATCAGAGCGTAGCGCACGTGCATGCACGTGAGATCTTGCCATATTGACCACGCCATCTTGTTTATACTACTAATACATCCTTACATTATGAGTTTCAAAACGTTTCATCAAAAAATAGAAAAGTTACGCTAATATACATTATATTGGTCATTCACGTGTTGCACGTGCGCGCTCTTGCAAGCACGTGCGCGCAAAATGACCTTCATTCCGCAAATCTACATTACATGTCTACTGACCCTAAAAACATTTCACCTTCGCTGGATGTGTAGTTTACGAGATCATTCGCGGACAAAAAAGTGCCCAGGAAGAAGAAAAATAATAATAAGAAGAAACAGAGTAAAAACAATATGTTCCCCAACTTCGTTTGAGGAACATAATAAGAAACAGAGTAAAAACAATATGTTCCCAAACTCCGTTTGGGGAACATAACTAGTGCTAATTGTAACGGGGACCGTTACAGATGTTCCCCAAACGCTCCCCAACTCCCTTTTATAGTCATATTCCCTGTAAGCGTAATTAAATAAGACAAACTTTATGCATTTGAGACTTTAACAACGTTTACCTAGAAGTGTACCATGTTCATTCAAATTTTATCATTGCACAATTGCGCATGTTAATGCATGTACGTAATGACCATATCATATTCTCTACACAATCTATATATTTTGATATGCTAAATATTAAAGTACTTAATCCAAAAGTAAAAAAAAAAAGAAAAAAAACGCTCATTCAAGTGTATTTTTGATTTTACCCATTTCACGTGCACGCAGGTGCATACATGAGCATGGTGACTGTACCTTCTTGTAGAAGTCCATTACATCTCTCTATGTTCTAAATCCCACGTGCACCCTGTTTGGTTGAAAACCAAGGGAGTTATAGCTGTTTAAAGTTTCAGCCAATCAGATTGCAGCGCACGTACACGCACGTGTATGTATGTGCAGGGTGACCATACCTTCTTATAGAAGTCCATTATATATATCTTTGTTCCAAATCCCAACCTGTTTGGTTGAAAACCAAGGGAGTTATAGGTGTTTAAAGTTTCAGCCAATCAGATTGCAGCATTAGTACACGCACGTGTATGCATGTGCATGGTGACCATACCTTCTTGTAGAAGTCCGTTATATATATATCTATGTTCCAAATCCCATCCTGTTTGGTTGAAAACCAAGGGAGTTATAGCTATTTAAAATTTCAGGCAACCAGATTGCAGCGCACGTGCATGCACGTGATTTCATGATATTTGCTATATATCATTTTGTAGAATATCCTAATGCATGGCTATGTTCAAAATGTCAAAGGATTTCGTCAAAAAACAAGAAAGATATTGAGACTTAAGTTTCAGCCAATCAGAGCGTAGTGCACGTGCATGCGCGTGAGATCTTGCCATATTGACTTGTGTAAACTACTAATACATCCTTACATTATGAGTTTCAAAATATTTCATCAAAAAATAGAAAAGTAACGGCAATATACATTATATTGGTCATTCACGTGTTGCACGTGCGCGCTCTTGCAAGCACGTGCGCGCAAAATGACCTTCGTTCCGCAAATCTACATAACATGTCTACTGACCCTAAAAACATTTCACCTTAGTTGGATGTGTAGTTTACGAGATCATTCACGGACAAAAAAGTGCCCAGGAAGAAGAAAAATAATAATAACTAGT